TATATATACCTTTTAAAATTTAATTTATACTTTCGACATACATGCTTCCACAAAGATCTATATCCATACAACTGGCAAGATGTTCGAACTTCTTTGGCAATAATTGCTTTGGCAGTATCATCGTCGCAGTAATCTCTTCTTTTCAAACCAAGACTTTTTAATTTTAGCTTTAACCAAATTAAACTATTGTGCCTAATAAACAAAGTGAAATAGGCGAGGCCTAAGTGGTACCTTCTCTTTACACCGTGAACTTCATCAAGACGCTTCAAAATGAGTTTATATTGCCTTCCAGAAAAAAAGTAATCTTTTATAAGATCTAAAAAAACTGGATAAGTGAAAAAATGTAGGTTATTACGTACCATTGAGCTCTCTCTCAGATATACCGGACATGTTTTTGCTTGTGCCCGCCCCTTACACCCCGCCCTTTTTAAATTCTATCGTACCCGGTCATTTTTGAACGGGGCCGATCACTTTTTGAACGGCTCCGATAACGGCATCTTTTCCCGTACCCGACGACGGATTATACCTCCGGGCCACCATAGTTAGGACAAGAACACGACGAGACCCGAGCACATATGGAGCTAAAACAGCAACACCAGTTTTACCACAACCAGTGGGTAAAACAACAAGAGCAATGTTTGGCTTGTCTTTGTTTTCGAGCTGTTTTTTTATTGCTAAAAGTGCTTCTTGCTGGTGGCTGTAAATGTGGCCCCTCCAATTACCATCGGCTTGAATGAAATTCAGTAAACCCTCATGTTGAAGAATGAAAGGCGAACGGTCTGTTTTCACTGAACTAATCGCCATGATAAAGACTAGATGGTGACAATATCTATGATGATGGATGACCTACGATTAGCACGTAAGGTAATTGTGAGTGAATAAAGGAAATTACTGGGGAGGCAGGATACAAAGAGTGGACTGGCCGGCCAGTCTGGCGGCACCATAGGCTGGCACAGTTTTTAAAGCGCTTTGTTGATACAGCTGAAATAATGTGCACTATTGTTGTTCCTAGCTAGCTGCTGATTCATTATGTATCATTTTATGTTCTTGTTGCCACTGAAATTGGTTTACATTAAATTGCGCATAAAATGAAATACTTGTATTTTATTTTCTATTGTACTATTTTGTATATAGACTATCTATTGTGCGTGTATATATACAGTGTGTATTGCCTGGCAGTTAGTGTAAATGTCAAATTTTCTCTTTCAGGAATGCTGTTATAATCAGTAGAACAATTAAGACTCTGTCGTGAGAGTATGGAGAATTAAGTAAAGGGGAGGCCTTGAGGGAGGGAATAAGGTCAATTTTTACAAGCAAATGCTGGATGTATTCAATAATCTGAAAAATTGCTGCAATCAATAAAAATTTTTTGGTATAATCAATAAAAAAGTTTGAAAAACCTAGCCTATTAATAAGGTTCTATGTTCACAATTAATTAACAATAACATCCTCATCAGCAACACTATCAAACTGTTCATAATTTTTCCTTTGGTCATGAAGCTTATGTGCTATTATAGCTGCAGTAACAGGATCATCAGGATGAGCCTTACGAATTGCTCTGCCAACAAATTGAGAAAATAAACTCTTGACTTTGGCTGAACATTACGAACAATGGCAGCAACACTAACATTGGTGTTATCATATCCTTCCCTGAGCTTATTAACAATTACTAATGTTCGTGTAGCTCCATTTTGAAATTCTGTCAAAACAGAAGTGGGACTACCAGCAACATAGATTTCACAATGATAGCCAGGAGGTGCTACTTGATTATATTCATGGAAGAAGTCTCTGGCTGAATTTATAGCAAAGTCTTCAGCTGACTGTGTCAATACCATTGCCTGGTGCTTTACACTTGGATCCTGTGTGTCATGCTCACGCAGAATTTGTATAATTTTAATAGAAACTTCCTATAAACATTATGCTTAATAATTAATAATAATATGATTTTTCATCCATACCTGCATTGCATCAAGCTGATCTACAAATTCTGCGGATGTGCCAACTTCATGAAACTCCTTTTCCCTTATAACTCCATCATCAATAGCCTTCCGCAGGCTCAAATTGTAGTATTTTTCAATGGATACGGGTACATTTCCATCTAAACCAGCCAAATGAGCCTCAATATCCTTCAGTATATAGCCTTGAGTACTTCTATGATATGGTGTTGCTGTTAAAAAGAGACGCTTGCTGCCACTAAAGTGATTAACAATAGTCCTCCAAGTAGGTGCTGGGTAATGGTGAGCTTCATCAACAATGACAAGGTCATAATTTTCAGGAGAAATATCTTGAATTCTGACTCGAGAACTCCCTGCAACTTGATGAGCTGTGATTATCAGCAGCTCATTGTGCAAAGAGTTCTTGATCTGATCAGTACTTGTAATGAGAGTACAGCTAGGACGGACATCATCTGTTGTATCTTTTGTAATGATCTCTCTCTGCACAAAAAACATATCCTGAGGCTCCTGTCCACCAAATGCCTTAAATATTTGCTCTGATATAGCATTTGAAGGAGTTAGGACAAGAACACGTTGGGACCCTAGCATATATGGAGCTAAAACAGCAACACCAGTTTTACCACAGCCAGTGGGTAAAACAACAAGAGCAATGTTTGGTTGGTCTATGTCATCGAACTGCCTTTTCACTGCTAAAAGAGCTTCTTGTTGATGGGGGTGGATGCACTTGGAGGCATCACCTTGAATGAA